GGCCATACCGGGCCTAAGTATAAATGAAAAATACTAAATACTTTACAAATATAGTTTTTTTCATCCTCGTATTAATATTGAAGGAATAGAACGGATTTTTGTCAATGAATAGATGTACCTTAAGTGTATTATTTGTTAAAACATTTTTATTTGACTTTTAATTAAACTGATTTCAAAAGGATATAAAGAAGCACTAGATAAAAGATGTGAAAATGTTATATAAAGTATATTTACAAAATTTTAAAGATTTCAAATATCATGACAAAATGACATTAAATCTTCCTGAGTAACTGGTCAACTATTAATAACTTGATCACTAAACTCCATTAAGAAAATCTAATTTATCTCCAATGCAACTTCATTTAAAATTTAATCATTAATACAATAAAGGACAGTTGTCAGAAACTTAATGTTTGAAAATTGTGTAGGATACCGATTCTGTCACTGGTTTGTTTGTTATTAAGCACAAAGCTACAAAATGGATTTTTTTGTGCTGTACCCATTGCGAGTATCAAAATCTCGTTTTTAACACTATAAGCCCTCAGATTTATCGTTGAGCCGCCCAGAGGAAGGGGAGGAGGGAGGTTGCAATAAGAAAAATTAGAATAATGATAAATATCTTGAAAATATGACATAAATATGTATTAGTGTTCAACAACACAGTAATGTATGCATAAGTGAATTAAGCTAAACTGTTATACTTTTTGTCGACTACTGTTCCGACTGTTCTCCCAATATCATTTTACACGATAGTCTTCAACTTAACGCATGTTTTTGTTATGTCGTGACTTGGTAAACGTAAAACAGACTCGGCTAAACAAATTTCACAAATTTTTTATTGGCAAAATACAGGTAAATTAAGTTATCCTGTACGTTACTGCAAAATTCACTGTTAAATACAAACAGGTTATAAAAAAAAGTCGTTTGTTTGTTTGATTTTTTTACACAACAAAGCCACATGGGCCATCTGCTGTGTCCACCGCTGGAAATCGAACTCCGGAATTTAGCGTTATAAGTTCGTAGACCTACCGCTGTCCTACCGGGGAACTACGAGCAGTTATAACATAAGAAAATATTCTTCAGTGTTTTCTTGCATATTTCATGTTTCTGAATATACAACTTTGATAAATAAAGGAAAACACACAATTCACGCAAAATTATTTAGGACAGCAGTAAGTCTACGGACATATAACACTAAAACCGGGGATCGATTCACCGCGGTGGATACAGCAGATTGTCCAATGTGGCTTTGCTCTATAACAAACCAACCTTATAATCACATAGCAACTAGTTAAATGTAAAACCTTCTTAACGAATGTTAACAGAACGTGTTTCACGTACATCTATTGACATAACGTATTAATGACATACTTAGACAGCCCGCTAAAAGTTCGTTGAAGTCCATTCAGAAAAAAAATTCTATGACAACAATGTCAGAAGTTCCATAAGTTATTTTCATTTGATTTTACACTCAATTATTTAAAAAATTAAAATTTAAAACAACTCATATCTGCATAAGTTGCAAAACGGTTAAAACATTTATACAGACATAAAAAATACTCGTACTGACCTCTGACCCCCTCTTCTCTGTCATCTGTATAGCACTTATAGACTAAAAATAAGTTTGATGCATAAATCCTTCTAGCAACAAGATTAAAAATTAAATAAAATTAACTGTTACATCAGACTTATGTTAGTTCCAGTATAAAAAAATAGCAACCTGGATTCTTCAAATAATACATGCATACAACAGTTTGTTACAAAAACTCCCTCTGTTGCAATTTAACTCAACCACAACTTAATAAATTTAAGAATAGCTCAACAAACACTTCTTTAACTAAAATATTATTTTGCACATGAATCTTTCTAGGATAATGGTTCAAACACAACCAGTTATTTTGTTTCAATGTAGCTACCTTAAGATTCAAGATGAAATAAATATGTTTTTACTGACACTTTTATCTAATCTCAGAACGTAACCAACATATTTTTACTCTATTTTACTTTTCCAACAACATGACCTTACTTTTAGGAGAAGTCTTGTAAATGTGATCTCTTAAGTTAAATTTAAACAATTTGTAGAACGCATATTTTAAAGGCAGAAAAAAGTATTTTTGTGGGCTTATCTGTTCATCCAAAAACATAACTCCCCCTTTTTTAAATACGTTTAACAAAAACATGACAAAAAAACATTGTAAGTCCAGAGGAAATGATGAACATCGTCAACCAATCTTATAATAAAGAGATTAAGGATTAATTGTAATCGTTCCTTTGCTTTCTTCTCCTTCGTGTAAACATCAGGAAGTTTTGAAACGTATTCTTCGTCTGAGATTTTAGATTCAGATCTGTAAACCACAGGTAATAAGGTATTAATCTATCTAGGAAAACTCGAAGCCTTGAGTTACGCTATAAAACATGGGTAACAAAGACTGCAGGTTAATCTACAGAACACAGATAACACAGAATTCAAGTTAATCTATAAATTGTGGATAACAGGGAATTGTGGTTACTCTAGAAAACACAAGTATAAAGGACTCCAGGCTAATATATACAACTTGTTAATCTATAAAACACGAATAACAAGGAGTTCGGGTCAATCTACAAAATATAAATAACAAGGGCCTTGGGTTAATCTCTAAAACACAGAAAGTCAAATAGTTCAGTTTAATCTAAAAATGTCACATAACAGATTTTGTGTTAATCTACAAAGATAAATGACACAGACTTTCTGTTGGTATAAAAACACAGATAACAAGGACTTTCATGTTAATTTACAAAACATAGATAGCATGAACTTCAGATTAATCTATAAACACAGATAACATGAATTTTGGGTTAACTTACAAAACATAAAACAAAGTTAAATTTAATATATTTGATGATACAAAGTCAGAGCTGGCATTTAACTCAGACTAATATGTCTTACAATGAATAATGGCCTTTTCAAAGTTAAATTTTCAAATTTTCAACGGATACTTTGATGATACGTTAAATTTAACACCAATTTAAGTGTGGGGAAATTTTCATATCTAATTGTTAGATCCATTTCAATATAACTAGCATTTAGGTGTTACGTACCATAAAAATTCACGTATTTTTTGCTTATACATGAGAAGCTCTGTAGCCATAACAAACAGGGTAACTTGAAGTTTGGGCCTTTTGCAGCCTTGTAATTATCGTGTAGGGCTGCACCTAAAGGTACGTAGCTCAAACCATGATATGCTGATGAAGACGTTTCTCACTTTCAGCTATGGAAACGTTATAACTGTGACAGTCAATCCCACTATCTGGTTACCAGTGGCCATTTAAGCGACGTGTGCTGCTATCTGGTAGCTCTCTCTCCTGTCAGTGCTTTAAAAGTATATATAATTATTCTTGAACTATGGGGTCTCTGACCTGATAGTTTAACCCATGTGTTCCGTAAGGTGCGTTTTATTCAAAATACCAAATATCATGTAGCTTGAAGCTGCTTTTTTTATTTAATTGAAGTGGGTTAACAAAAAACATCCCAACCAAACTTTTTATAACCTTCTTTTACTTCTTGCCAAATAAAAGTGTCGTCGTAACCCGATTTCTTAGCGACTTTATTAATTGTTAAGATTCTGTTTGCATATTACTTTAATAATATATCTATCACAACAACCTTATTTCCTCAAAAACTTATGGAACTCCAAAAAAAAATAATGTTCTTTCAGCCACATGATTTCGGAACCACCATGTGTATACAACTTTGATTAAAAATATTATCCTGCTACAAAACAAAATATAATATACTTCAGTTTTTGCTTCTAGAGACACAATATAGCCCCAATACATTCATTGAAGCATTTATTAGTATTTCGAACATACTGTTCGAACAAGATTTGTTTTCTAAAGTTTCACTGAAGTCCGCACCATTTCCAAAATGTCAATGTAATTTGAATTTCTTTGCTCAATAAAAGATGAACCTTAGATTTCTCAATGATAACCACGCCTGAAAAGAAATTGGGGAAAGTACAAAACCCATTCATCAAAGTGATTTAACTCCTTGAAAAAGCTAATTTCTGGTATAAATGAAATTATGTTTTTAACAAAAGATGTGAGTTAATATTTTGAGGCAATATATTTTACTTTAACTCACCTGAATCGTTCAGCTGATTTCGCGAGATCCTACACTCCAGTGCACCAAGTGTACATATGCTGAAAATATGGAGCATTTAGTGTTAACGAAACCAAATCATCAATAATACTGTAAAACCGTTTATACTGAGAAAAACAAAGGACTTTTAATAACGAATCGTATCGGAAATGAAAAACTAAAAACATTATCGTCTCAAAAAACTAACTAAAAGGGAAATATTTATTAATAACAAATATTTAAAATATAAAAGCTGGTAAAATTGATATTCATAAAGCACAATAAAAAGAATTTTACAAAATATTGTATATCTCATTAATATAACAAATTCATGGATAGGTAACCGAGGAAGTATTTAAGAGTAGTACTCTCTCATGTAATATTAGAAGTTTTTTAAAGAAAAACGAAACTAAGGAGAAGTTCGAACCTGCGACTTTCTATTCGATAAACTGACCTGCAGGTTCGAGACTTGCCCAGTCTTAGTTTTTACCTCTTCAGATTAATTCTGACTTCAATAGGTAAAGCAACTCGTCTTAGTTTTTACTTCTTCAGATTAATTCTGACTTCAGTGGGTAAAGCAGCTCGTGTTAGTTTTTACTTCTTCAGATTAATTCTGACTTCAATGGGTAAAGCAGCTCGTGTTAGTTTTTACTTCTTCAGATTAATTCTGACTTCAGTGGGTAAAGCAGCTCGTGTTAGTTTTTACTTCTTCAGATTAATTCTGACTTCAATAGGTAAAGCAACTCACCAACCAACTATGTAAGGTCGTTTCTGTAATTCTTGAAGCTGGTCATACTTCTCCTTGGATAAAGAACACCCACCAGGTAGGATAACTAAAATGCAAATAACAGAGATTCTTTAACAAGAGATCTTTCTGTGGATGTTTTTTTTTGTTTGTATTTTCATATATGTATTCCAGTACTTCGTTTTTCCTGAATTGCCATGCAGTTTTGAACAAGTTGAACATACAACGTATCTTTCTGGAAAGTAAATATAAAAAATTAATAATTATATAAATTATTTAGAATATTAAATACAAAGATACAGAAAACAAAAGTGCAAAAACAGAAGAAACCTGAACTGCAATTACAGTTTGATCTTGTCACAAAAAGACTACAGGTCTTAGTGATACGTATTGCAAAGCGTATATGTAAAGGTTTGGTTTGTTTTGAATTTCGCACAAAGCTACACAAGGGCTATCTGCGCTAGCTGTCCGTAATTTAGCAGTGAAAGACTAGAGAGAAGGCAGCTAGTCATCACTGCCAACTCTTCGGCTGTTCTTTTACCAACGAATGTGTAAAGATAGCAAACAATGTAATTAGTGCATTCTTTTTATACCTCTTTAAACTTATTGTCCATAGGAAAGATGGTTACTTCATCTATCCAAAAAAGAGCAAAAATAAGTTTTTCGTGCCATTTAAAATACCACACAGTATCTTGAACTATGAAGACGAAAGATAAAGTGTTAATAAAAAAGTGTTTTCTATAATACGAATCTAAAAAAATTGTTTATCACGTTTAAAAAATCAAACGTGCCAACTTAAATTACGTGGAACAAAATTACGACCTTCGTGAGTACACTGCAGGAGAAATGGGCAATTTTAGGTAAGATTATAACTGGCAGTTAACAGGTGAAATAGGACAATTTATTTCACTACTGGATAAGACATGGTGCAAGTGACTGGAACATCGACATATCCTTGCAATGATTCTCTACTGCCATAATATTAATAAAATTAGATTGGACGATAAACCCTAAAACAAGGTTGCCGTCTGGCGGCATCATATGTCAAAGTAATTTCATAATACTAAAAATAAGACCTTAATATTAGATATAATTATATTTTTAACGCTACATTATGTGTTCGTCATATCCATTGATGATAACGCGTTTCTCTTAATATAGAGCTCATCAGGCCGGCTGAGATACACAGTGGTCGAAACATTATCTATAATGCTAGGAAATATAGTAGGTTTAAAAGTAACATCTTATGATAAGTATGATTAATTATAACTATGCTTCGCCAGTTAAGAAAAGGCGTTCACGCCTTAATAATATATATTTTTGTTTGTTTGATGAATTTCACGCAGAACTACTTGGGGGTTATCTGCACTAGCCCTTCATCATTTTGAAGTGATATAATAGAGGAAAGGCAGCTAGTCAACACTACCCGTCACTGACTCTTAGGCTACTCTTTTACCAACGAATAGTGGGATTGACCGTCACATTATAAGGTCTCCACGGCTGAAAGGGTGTGCATGTTCTGAGATGGATTTGAACCCGCGACCGACAGATGGCGAGTCGAGCGTCCTAACCACCAGGTCACATTAGGCCCTATAACCAAATAAGAGGTTGTTTTTTTTGTTTTTTTCAAATTATTAATAGCTTTGGAAACCAAGCAAATCGAGGAACGCAACTAAAATAATGATAAATTACATACTTATTCTTACATACGTAAATATTATACAATTAAGGATAACTGTTTAAAAGACAAATTAGGAGAATTGAAGTTATAATGATATCGTTATAATCCTTTTTGTAATATAAAACAGTTAAACGACAGAAAGCGTATACTGAGAACTTTCTATTGGTTATCAAATAAATACCGTCGCAGTTAGAGATATTATCAATAACCTTTTGCCATATTAGGAAATATAGATTATATCAGTACTTAATCGATGCTCGTGGTGGGCAGAGCACAAATAGCCTATTGTGTGGGTTCGTGCTTAAAATACACCAATCAATGTCTAAGATGTCGAGGAAATTCATTTATATAAAACACGTAACAAATCAATAACTTTTAACGCAATTGGTTAAAATAAGAATTAATGTCTATCTTTGCAAGACATCAGGTAATCTCTTCGTTCAAAGCTTAATATTATGTCAGTAGGTGTCAAAAAATATAATCAATGCAGCTATAACATTTGCAGATATATCTAGGACATATCCCGAGGGATTCCCTGATGAACCAGAGGTAAGTTTACGGACATAAAACGTTAGAAATCTGGGGTTTGATACCACGCGGTAGACAGAGTATAGAAAGTCCATTGTGTAGGTTTGCACTAACAAAACAAAAACAATACCTTGAGGGCCACCACTATTTTATGCTTTTGGTTTGAATGTTGCAGTTTTAAGGTAAACGATATTTTTAAAAGGTTTTAAATTGTGAGATGAACCAGCTAAAAGATTCGTTCTTCCATTTACACGAGTTTCACTCGTTTATTATTATATGTTCTTACCCGTTTCTTTTCCAGCTTTTTCGAGGTAAGTTTTGCCATCATCACTAACACTTGATTCTGTTAAAAAATACAGGAAACATTTTACGTTATCGCCACAACTTATTTTTATAGCATAAGTAGTCCAACATTTTTTTCCTAATGTAATAACCTTTCAACGCGACCTATATTTTGAATATTACCCCTTAAAGCGCAAAGGTAATATAATTTTATATATAAAAAATTAATGCATAATAGTTATTTAATAAATGTCGACTTTTTTAGAGACTACAAAAATACGAGAGAGAGTCACCCCCAAATGTCACAGGCACACAAACTCCAAGGTTTGGCACTCCCTCTAGAGGATCTTCGATGTACTGAATACGACAAACATAGTTAGCAGGACAATCCAAGGAAACGCTTGGGGGCGGTAGCGGTGACGTACTACAAACTTTTACTGAAAAGTTCCAGAGAAATTGGTAAATTAAAACAAATAATCAATGTTTAATGATAAATTGTTTTTTCTAATAAGTTTAGATTTTAAAATTTTATGTATTTTAAGTTACATATCGTTAAGCCTTAAACACAGCAATTTATTAATACTTGTTTCGAACGCTTTTATTCAAGATTTTACATTTTTACGTGGACGATTTGACAGTATAGAATACAAAACTATTACCATATTTAGGTAGTTTTGATTTTTACAAAAGACTAAAAATTAATGAAAAATTATCATCTTTGTTTTAATACGGTACTAGAAAAGTAAAGTAAATATGACCTCAATTACTATTTTAAAATTCTGCTATAACATGAATTATATAATCCCAGTATCAGGATCCAAGATTAAAAGAGTTAGAAAACAATTTTTATTTTATCAATTTCATATCTTTATTTTCCCAATTTGTTGCTTTAAAGTAAATTAAGCAATTACGATAGTAAGTTTTTATAGTATTAAATAATTTCTTGGCTTATGATCTAAAAATTAAAAAATAAAATACCCAAAGAAACAAGGATTAATAATTTTCATCTCTCTGTACAGATTCAAACTCGCCTCCAATATTTTTAATCGAATTCAATATGATGACGCCACATACCTTCTGGAGAGGAAAAGTCGCTCATGTTTCGAAGATTGTCTGAAAAATAATGAAATATCTTGAAATGCCAATCAACAGTGGTTGATTATTCAACAAAACAACTAAATCTAAAAGTGTTATATCAGTAAAAGAATTGCCTCGGATTAAATCGGCTCAACAATACCCAATCCAAAAGAATCTAAATCTCAAGCAAAAATTTATAACATGTGAAACATACCTTAAGTTAGTTATTAATGATATAATTCTTTACTTTATATCAAACTAAATAAGTTACTCTTGCACGATAATTATCAAATGCACAGTTGAAAGTCACTCTCTGATATGATGACTAATTGTTTACCTGCATAGGAAATAAATGATCTAAAAGTAAGCCCAGATTTTTTATGGTGTGGTTTTAGCTGAAAAAAAAGATATAATCACAGCTATAGATATGCACATAGTTATTTACAGAGCATCACTGATTGAAGCAGGGTGGGATGAGGCGGGATGCCATCCCACTTCTTTTCGGAAGGGCCTAAAACCATCCCACGACCTTTGAGTAGACTGTAATCTTCTCAGAAGGAAAAGATTCAATAGACGATGCAATAAATATTTACGGCGGCAGGAGCTGGGAAGATAAACTATATTTTATTTCTTAAAATGTCGTGTAAGGGTGAGGCAGGAATGAGACAAAGTAGTACACGATGAAAGGAATGAACCCTCTCACTACCGGCTCGGTCAGTGTGACCGAGTTCGTAACCACAAAGTAGCCATCAGAGTTTCCATACCATAACTCGTTGCATTATACATAGGTTTATACTTACTTTTATTGTTTTATTTTTTGAATCAAGTCCAACTAATTAATCTTGCCACACAAGTTGTAAATCACTTGGCGAACGTTGCATATAGAATTACATAATGCACGAGCTACTTGCGAGTATACCTCGTAAAGAATTATGATTATTATCATTATCCTACCTAATCTAAACTAATAGGTTTCTAATTTTTTCATTTTACTTACATATATAATAAAAAAATAATACACATGAAAAACAAAAAATGTAGTACTCAGCTTCAACAATTTCACAAACCACCCTGCTTTCTCTTCCTACTTACTTTAAGCACTGCATAGCAGACACCTACCAGGGTAAATGGGAATAGCTGAAACCCCTTTTGGTTCTTCTTGCCAATCAATCACTGCAAGAAAAGAGCAAGTACAATACGATTATTTATCTATTTTTTGCACTAATTTAATTTTGAAACTTTGTATATTTTATGACAGTTAGTTTCCCTACAGGCTTAAGTAATTTACTATAAACTATAAACTTGTCAGTAAGTCTGAAGGCTTATAACGCTAAAAATCGGGTTTGATATACGCAGTTAGTAGAGCACAGACGGTCTATTGTGTAACTTTGCGCTTAACAACAAACAAGAAAGACTTCACAGCGTTTGTAATGATGCGAAGAAGCACTTGATAAACCCCACTGGGCTATAAACCGATTTTCAGTACGTTGCTAAAACAAATATTAACGCTTTAAGTCTGCAAACCCCAATTTGTGGTATGATTTTAATATTTGACTTAAATAAACTAAACATGAAAAAATTGCCAAACAGGCATTAATTAAAGTACATCCAATGTTTTTGTTATTGTTGGTTTTTTCAATTTAGTATTTTGTATTTTAAACCCCAATGGCACCTTATGTGCCACAAGAACTAAACATCAAAGTCTGAAATCACAAGATTCAGGCATAGTTGTCCCTAACTTTGAACTAAAACACCCCGTCCCACCAAACATGCTCGCCCTTTCAGCCATGGGAGCGTTATAATGTGACGGTCAATCCCACTATTCGTTGGTTTGGTTTGTTAGGAATTTTGCGCAAAGCTACACGAGGGCTATCTGCGCTAGCGGTACGTGACACCACAGCTGAATGTTCTAGTTCCGTAAGTAACTAGGGCGAGAAGAACTTGGTGGCTCCCTTGACTGATTTTCTTTATTAAGAATATGCTCAATATGCACACAAAATCTGAAAAATCTATACATTAACTAAGGGGTAGAAAACACATGGTACGCTTACATACCACAAACGTGCAAGCCACAGGCTGATTACACTGAAAACAAAGCTACTCATATGATAGTATAAAGATATAGTCAACCGTAAGCTAGAATGGAATGAGAAAAATTAGAAACTAAAGAATTTTTAAAGCAGCTTTTTCTATACCAGCAAATTATGAAATTTTTCTACACAAAAATAATATGTCATTTATTAAGAATAGAGATATTTACTCTTTGGTGAGAGAAGAATAAATTATCCTATAAAACATGTACCTTAATTAGCCAAACATGCAAACTAGATACAAAGTCTGTCAACAATAACTGAAGCTACCAAAACATTATTATTTCGTGTATATGAGGGACACAAGTATTATTTAACATATTTGGTTCTTACACTCATAATAAATGAGTATCGATGACCAGGTGGATGTGTTGGTACAGAGTTAGGCGAAAGAAGGTACGGACGGTCGGACAGACTAATAAAGAATACATTACCAGGTGGAGGTGGTATCTTATGTTGACAGCTGAATACACAGCCATTGAAACAACACTTGAAATCTGGATCTGGACAGTCTTCATGACTGCTGCATAGCGTCTGAGAACAGTAGACTCTCGCAATTGGAAGAACCGGAGTTGGACAATCACGTAGCGAAGGATCTTTTAAAAGCTGAGTCATGTGTTCTCTCAACCCCTCCTAGAATCAAAATATAACAAGGTTTCAATAACACAGGCCTGCGATGGTTTTAGTGTCTTGAAAATTTTACATGTTCTACAGTAATTCCTGTACGCTGAATTCGAAAGTGATATATATTTTTTTCCATCACGTACAGGTTTTTCACGAAACGTCATAACGCAATACATGAAAGAAAGACCACAACACGTAGTTTTGAGACTAAAAGATGCAGATTTCATTTAAAAAATTAGGATGAATGAGGATGCATATTCGTTTGACATCAATGTTCTTCCCTTTTCTTCTGTTTATTTGTATTTTTGTTAACAAACTGAAACATAATAATATAAAATGTTCATTCTGGTAAACGAAATAATAAGATTTTTTCTTCTTCCCGATTTGAAAAACATACTTACGTGATCGAAAAACTGAATATTATTTTCGAAATCTGCGTAGCTGAATTATGGAAAACCCGTTATTAAAAACAAAACAACTTTTATTAAGTTTAAATTCGCAGGCATGTTTAATCAAACTGTGGTGCAGCATAGACCAATTGATACAACACTTCCCGTACTTTATCTTATTAACAAAAAATGTTTATAATGATAAGTTGATATAAATATATCTACATTTATATATTAGCGTATGGCTTAATTAAACTGGAAAGTTTTCCTGAAATTTAAGCTAACAGTCCGTGAAACGAAATAAGACTTCATTAATCCTTGAGGCACCTCAGCTCCGGAGAAGATAGTTCAAACTAACACTTTTTAGAAGTGAGAAAACAAATGCGAGAAGTGACAAGAGATGTATATGTGTTTCCACGTTTTTTTGGTCTTAGCTATTTTCAATCGACTTTACTTCTTTGTCAAACGATTTTGCTCATCCAAGTGGGGGGAGGGAGGATCTTTTTCATCAGTAGTAATAACTGATTAAACTCTGTTAAGTAGTTGAATAAACGACCAGTATTTAAATCGAATAGGGGGTGTCAAATGACCGTTAATTATTCATATAATAACTTAAAAACGCATGTTCCCCACCAACTGGCCACTTCCATGAAACTTTCCAATTTAAAAAATAGCGAAACAGTTGTTGATTACTCATACACAAAAAACATATACATACATATGTATGCATATAGTTAAACATAGTTTTATTCAAGGTCCTCATAAGGAAATTCTTCAACCATCCACTATTTTTTAGATATTTTTAAGAATGAGACAAAATAAATACAACTGGGATTACATTGTTATTGGATGTACACTCTCCTATGAGAAGACGTAAAATTAATTGCATTTTATAATTTAATTTTCACATTATTAAAAAAAAAGGGCAGACTTCTTCCTTTCCTATAGTACGTTTTTGAAGTACTTGTGTTGAATTGTTCAATTTACACACAAAGTTCATAAGTACATAATACGTTTTGCATAGCTTGATGGTTAGGGCGCTCGACTCGCAATCTGCGGATCACGGGTTCGAATCCCCGTCACTGAATATGCTCACCCTTTCAGCCATAAGGCGTCGTAATGTGACGGTCAATCCCACTATTCGTTGCTAAAAGAGTAGCTCAAGAATTGGCCGAGGGTAGTGTTGACTAGCTGCCTTCTTTCTAGACTCTGGAGAATCACTTCTAAATTAGGGACGGCTAGCGTAAATAGTCCTCGTGTAGCTTTGCACGAAATTCAAAAACTTTAAAAAAAATTATATGTGTGAGCTGCACTCAGAAATATCGCTCAGGAAGCGTTCCTGCATATTAAGCAAGAAAATTACTCTGAACCGGAAACGTATAAACTAATATAAAAAAAAATAATATTATCAATTAGGCTTAACGTCCTCTTTTTGTTCTGTTGGTTAACTGAATGTGGAACAAAATAAAATAAGAAATGTCGTACTATAAAAATTTTCAAATGATCGTTTTTAAAAGCAACACGTGATCAAAAAATTTATACTTAATCATTTATTGAAGGGTATTATGTGATTACAACATATCTGTGTTTTATTAGGTCGTCGGGAAATTAATGTTTTTTTAGATGAAAAAACCCGAACAACTTATACATCAAACAAAACATTTACAAAATGAAATAGTCTCCATTCTTATCGATGATGCTTTTCCATCTTACAATCAGGTTGTTAATGTCCTGATTAAAGAAATCACTTTGCTTTGAAGCAAAAAACATGTCGATGTCCTCTTTAACACCTTTCACATTTCCATACGTTTTCCCATTAAGATGGTGATGCAGCGAACGAAAAAGATGGTGATGTGATGGTGCCATATCTGGAGAATATGGTGGGTGGGAGAGAACTTACGAACCCAACTCCATAATCTTGTGCTGCGTCAAAGGTGCCACACGTGGACGTGCATTGTCGTAGAGAAGAAGAACCTCTTTCTGATTGACGGGTGAAGGGCTTGATTTAAACGTTCCATTTGCTGACTATAGATTTTTGCATTGACAGTTCGCTGTGGATTGAGGAGTTCGAAATGAATTACTCCTTTGATGTCCCACTAAATGCAAAGCATCACTTTCTGTGGATGGAGTCCAAGTTTTGGAGTCGGAAGATATTTTTTGTCTAGGAGTGAGCCATTGTTTTTGGCGTTTAATATTCGCATAGAGAATCTGTTTTTTCGTCACCAATGACAATTCTGTCCAAAAATGGTTCGCGCGCATTACGCACCAGAAGCAACGTTCACACGTTTGAAACGATGATCATCAGAGAGTTCGTGAGGCACCCAAGCACTGTCTTTGTGAGGTTTTCCAATATAACTTAAATGTTTACGTATTGTTTTATGATAAACATGCAATTTCAGGGCCATTTCACGAGTGTGTTGTCTTGAGTTAGACTCAACAAGCGTCTTCAGAGCATCAATATCAATTCCAACATGTTGGCCTCTGCCATCACAGTTTTTAAGGCTAAAGTCACCTGAATGAAATCTGTTGAACCATCATTGACACTTACGAACGTTCAAAACATTTCCATAAACTTCTTTGATATACTTTGTGGCTACAGAGGCGTTGTTTTCCTTCTTGTATTCAAAC